GGAGGGGGCGTTGCTTAGCACTGTTGGCGTCTGCTGCAGCTGGCTCCATGGGCTTGCGTCCTGCTGGGCAAGTTTACGTTGTGACGCATAGTTTTTAATTGCTGCCAAGCTGGTTCCTTTCAGTTCCAGCATAGGTGGCTTCTGCTATGTCCAAAGCTAAACTGATGACTTCATTTGCAGTGGACGCACAGCCTGAGCCGGGGGTGGCTGTGTCCAAGAGTAAGGAGCAGGAGGCCCGCGACGGAGGGCTGGCGGAGCACCCCCTGCAGCCTTTGGAGCCTGAGCTCGGCGCTCCCGGGCGGCCCCCCTCTCCACCCCCCGGACATGACCAGCGCGCCTTGGAGGAACCTGAGGCAGCTGCAGGCGGAGCCCCACCCGGTCCTCCCGGTGGTGGAGGTGGTGGTGGTGGTGGTGTGGACACGGAGCCCCAGGCAGCCCAGGCCAAGCCCAGGGAAGGGTGGCAGGGCACTGAGCCCAAGGAGGCGGGCGTGCAGGAGCGGGCCCCCGAGCCAGGCCTCGCCGGGGCACCTGGGGGGCCAGAGAAGCCTGATGCTGGGGACTCTGCCAGGCAAAGTCAGGACAATTTTGGTGGAGGCTCCCACGAGAGGAGGAAACCCAGAAAGGAGGTGGCAGCCGCTGGTGCTGCCGTTCAGGAGGCAGGCGCCCTAGAAGGGGGTGTGGAGAGACCCCAGCAAGTGGGCCAAGACCAGGACCCTGCAGGCCTGTCCCGCAGGCTGGGCGCAGCAGCCCCTCAGGCCCAGGCTGTGTTACATCACCCTGAACACCCAGCTGTCTCTGTTGGAGGTCAGGGAGGTCACCCCGAGGCGAGAAAGGAGGCCCTCGGTGGGGACCACCTGGGCGGGGACAACGAACTCGCTCCCAGAGAGGACGCTCCTGTCCCAGAGCCTGAACAGAGACCAAACCCTGAGCTTGGGCCCAAACAGCCCATCCCTGGGGCGCAGAAGCCGGACCTTGCCAAACCCAACCGCGACCTGAAAGTCCAGGCCGGCTCCGACCTGCGGAGGCGGCGGCGGGATGTGGCTCCTCGTGCAGACGGAGGCCTGGCCTCTGACGATGGCGTCATCATCAGCTTCAACTCCCTGCCCGATGTGCAGGTCAATGACCTCCGCAGCGCCCTGGACACCCAGCTCCGCCAGGCCGCAGGGGGCGCTTTGCATGTGGTCCACAGCCGCCAGATCAAACAATTGCCTGGGATCCCGGAGGAGGCCTGAGTGCCTGCAAGTGGCCACCATCCTCCTGGTCGGCTGGCCTCACGCAGCCATGCCCAGGCTGCTGGCGAACCTGGAGCACAGTGAGCACTGCATCCCGGAGGTCACACTGAGTACGGGTCCGAAAGCCCTGTCTCACTGTGACATCCTTCCAGGGGTGGTCTGTGCTGTCACTGATGCCTCTTCGCTTGTCCAGGTGGCTCAGCTCACTGGCCACCCAAGACCCTACGGAGATGTGGCGTCAGCTATGGTCTTGTCTGCAACCCGCCATCTGCATATTGTGACACAGGTGGGTCCTGTGAGGCTGTGGCAGCAGGATGCGTGATGGCGGCTGGTGCCTCTGCGTGCCGACTCGTCCCAGCACGTGGCTGCCGACACCGGCCCTGGCCACAGGTCCCGTTACTGCAGGCTTTATGTTGCTCGCGTTCTCTGAGTGTTGTAGAAAAGCTCAATAAACAGTCTGCCTTCGCCCTGCTGCTCACAGCACATACTGCTTCCTGCCTCAGGGGCCGGGCTCGAACAGCAAGTCTGTCACTGGGCATCAGAGAGCTGCCCTGGTGCCCTTGCAATGGGGCTCTGCTCCACGCTGTGGTTCCCCGGAGTATCACGAGATCTTAAAATAAAAAATGCCACGCTAGTCTGCTTGGTTAGTTACCTGGATGGTGCCCGACACCAAACGAGCACAAAGCTGCGACCCGGGTCACTGAAGAACAGACCAGTAACCAAACCGCAGGGTGACGTGTAAACCAGAGGCATTAAAGCCCTGGAGACGCTGTCTGCAGGCAGAGCTGCTGCCCGGAGCGCATCTGGCCCTCAGTGCCAGGCCTGTGGCTGCAGCGTGCTGTGACCAACATGAGGGAGGGGAGTTCGTGCAATAAGCAGCGACTTGTTTTGGCCACGGCTCCTCTTGAGTCTGCTGCGGCCGCCCATCTGTCTGGAGGGCTTTTGTGATGTTTTGTTTCCAAGGAGCAGAAGAGCCAGTGGTGGCTCCCTGGCCTGTGAGACCGTCGGTAGGTGGCCTGGCAGGTGTCGCGGGCTGTCCTGGCTGAGCCCAGGGCCTCCACTGCTTTGTCCTGTGTGTGCCCGGCTCCCCTTCTGGGGCTCATGCTCTACCCTTGCACCTTTGAAATCACTTTTAGTTTTTATTGTAAATTCTCTGCATTGGGCAGCCTGACCAGAGAAGGGTAATAAAAGCTTTCTGGAGGCCTAACTCGTTCCCCCTGAACCGAGAGCTGGGGTGCTGCTCCCGCAGGGAGCCCGGCGAGCCGGCTGGGTGGCGAGGCGCTCCCGGCACCTCCGCCTGTCTACTCGAGGTCTTCCCGTCCCCGGTTTCATGTCTTCCGAGGTCACTCTCCTACCACACCCCCCACCCCACTGCCCAGGCCCCACTTCTGGCACTCAGACTCCTCCCCGTCAGTGCTCTCGTGTGCAGCCCCTCAGGAAAGGTCTTCCCGGTCCGCAGACCTCTGGATGGGGTCACGGGTGCCAGGATCACAGGGAGGAGGGAGGAGCTGAATGTGCCTCTCACCACAGACTACATCCGGCTCCTGTGGATGGAAGGTGCAACCAGTGATATGGGCCAGAGCTGCCACCAGTGGGTGACCCTCCCTGTGGGGAACTATAGCCCCACGTGCCTGGGATGGACGCTCCAGAGAACCAGGGAAGGCCAGGGAGGGGTGGGGTGAGGCTGTGCATGAACGTGAGGCGCCCCGCCAGAGGGCCGAGACGCGTGTACAGACCACAGCGGAAGTCGTCTTTGCTGCCTCCCCGCCCGTCACATCCCCGTCAACAGACATCTTGAAGATGGAGCGAGTTTAGGGAGGCCGGAGGGGCGGGACAAAGGCCCAGGAGGCCAGAAGCGGAGGGGCACCTGGGAGGCCCTGAGAGCTGAGGTCGGTGTTTAGGGTGCAGCCTGGCTGGTCAGCAGAGCAAGCCCACAGTGGCCCTGGACAGGAGACATAAGGTGGTGGCAGCATCTGCCACCCTGGATGGGAATTTGAAAAGGTGCACAAGGGAACACCCGGTGGGACTGTTCTGGGAGGGGCCCGGGGCAGGTGTGCTCGGTGGAGAGCGGAAGGTTGGGGGAGTCCACCCTGCAGCTGGACGCACCCACCAGGTACGCACTGTGAGGAGCCCAGCAAGGCCAGGTACTGGCCACCTCTCTCTCCAGCCCTCAGGCTGTGGGTCTCCCAGGGGGCCTGTCGTCAGTTTAAGGGCATGAATCCTAGTGGTTGCTATCAAGTGACCACCCAGCAGGACGGGCTCTAACCACTCCCCCAGGGACAGCTGCCCCTCCAGGCCTCCCTGGGAGCAGTTTCACTGGAATGGACACAGGTTGCAGAGACGGAGGTCTCACCCCTTGTGGGGGTTGGGCTGGTCCTGAAGTCGCACTTTGGAAGAAACAAGCAGAGAACTTGGATGGCGCTCAGGCCCTGTGTACTCGCTGGGCTGGTGGCTCTGGGGGTCCTGCCTGGCCTTGCTAGGCATGTGTGTCACTCTCAGGACAAGGGCTGTGGGGCCAGAGGGGTCAGGAGGGCTTGGCTCTGACTCCCCAGGTGGCTGCATGAGGGCGGTGGTAACCCCACCCACCCGGGCCAGGGGCCTGCAGCCTGGGTGGTAGCGGAGCTGCTGGGTTCCTAACCAACCCTCGTCTGGCACCTCGTCTTCGCTGCCTTCTGTAGGAGAGCGCCCCGCCCCCTCCAGTTCTGGACCAACATCGGCACCAGGTTCCCTACAGGGGGGTCTCTCCCTCACGATGCCCATCATTTATCTTTGATATGTCTCCTAAACCAGCAGTCCCCAACCTTGGTGGCACCAGGGACCGGTGCTCCCATGAGAACCTAACGCCTGATGATCTGAGGCGGAGCTGAGGTGGTGATGTCGGCGCTGGGGGGCGGCTGCAAACACAGATGACGCTTCGCTGCTCACCTGCTGCTCACCTCCTGCTGTGCGGCCCGGTTCCTAACAGGCCACAGACCGGTACCAGTCCGCAGGTCAGGGTTGGGCACCCCTGCTCTAAACCAGCAGTTACGTCTAGAGGCTGTACAAAATTCAGCTAAAGTTTTTTCACGAGAATTCTTTAAGAAGTGAGAATCCGGAGGCGGCACGGCCCGCGCGCACCCCAGCGCACAGAACAGACCGTGCGAGATCTGCATGCTCTTCATCGCTGGCGCCCTTTCCAGCCCAGGCCTCGTGCACACGACACTACGGGCTGCTCCCCCTGTACCCAGGGCCCGCCCCAACTGTCCAGCCCCTTCAGCCTTAAGGGCTTGAGATGTTTCACGATGTTTGCACCTTGGGGCCATCAGCGCCAGGAGCCTGGCCCGGTGCCCTCCAGCTGCAAATGGACGTGAGCTGCGGTGGGCATCTCTCCTGATGGCCTCTGTTCAGGGTCTTCTTGGCCTGGAAGGTAAAGTATTTTGTCATTATAGGGTCCTTCGAAGTTAGGGCTTTAAGACAACCACCCGCCAGATGCCATCTTCCAGCGAACACCTTACAGAGAGCCTGGCTCTGGGCTCGGCTGGTCAGTGCACAGGCGTGCCCACACCTCAAAGCCAGGTCCCCCTGCCAGGCATCTCGCAGAGGAAGCACTAAGGTCCGAGAAGCTGACACGCTCATCAGGGACAGGGCTCACGGGGCAGAGCTGGAGTCCGAGCCCTTTCTGCCCCGTCCTGCGGCCCCCACCAAGCAGAATGGACAAAAAGCGGGGTCAGCAGCATGCTCCCTCGTGCTGACAAACACTCAAGTATCGGGGCCTGCACTTAGGTCATCCAGTGAACGGTGGCACGTGAGGCAGCGCAGGGCTCCTGAGCGCAAGGTCTTTATGCGATGGAGGCAAAGGGATGTAAGGTGTACGTCAGGCAACCAGACGCCTGTAACAGGCAACTCATGACTAAGCGCAACAGGTGATGGAGAAACACCTGTGTGTAGCTAGGAGCGTCTGACCTTCATCTCACATGTAAGTTTCTCCAGCCAGTGACCACAGAGTGAGTGTCTGGACCCTTGGGGAGAGCGGCAGAGAAGCCACCAAGAGGCAGGAACAAGTCCCAGGAACAAGTGCAGTCGCGGATGAATAGCCCACGTGGATCTGAAGCTGGTGACGAGGGCTGACTGGTGAGGCAGGGTGGCATGCCTCGGCCATACTAACTGCCACGAAGGTGCAAAGAGTTCCGAGCCCTTGGAAAAGTGGATATGGGAGCTATTTTCTTGAATTGGAGAAGCAGGTGTCCACATCCTCAGCCATTCTGCTTTGGGTGACCCTGGAACAGCAGAAAACTGCCGCAGACCCCAAATGCTGCCAAGCTGACCTCCGCCATCACAACCCACCCCAGACCCACTGAGTCAGGGGTACCTAGGGTGGTGACGCCTTCGGTACTAGCCCAAGACCCTTGCCATTAAAGCCTCAGGGCAGGCAGCCCCTCCTCCAGCTGTCTGGAACTCCCACTTCGGGTCACATCTGCGCCTCTGACTCAGTTTCTCCAAGTCCTTTATGAAAACATGTAACCCCAATACTAATTCTTTACCTGCCTTTCACTGGCTTTGCTTTTGATCAGAGGAATCAGGAAATGCGGTGGCTCAGAGACGGAAGGGACTTCCTGTTGCCTACTGTAGGCAGAACTGAGCCCAGAACCAAGCGCAGAAAGACTGTTCCACCACAGTCCAGTCCACTTTCCTGCCCGTGAAAACCGGCTAGCACCATGGCTAGGCTGGACGACTTCTCAACCTGTCCTAAGCTTGGTTATGGGGGCGAAGCCAGGATACATGGACGACCTTTGGGCGCTCCTTTTCCTCTCTGTAAAATGGGGTTGTGTGGGGGTAAGTTGGGGCGCCTGGCAGCCCCTCAGTATGTGCTAGATGGACCAACGGTTGCAACCGTACATACTGCGGGGTCGTGACCACCAATGACGCTAAGATGTGGTGGGTGCTGGGGCGCCTTGGAGTCCTGCGTTGGGGTTGTATTGGGCATTTCCCCCAGGCGACAGCACCACAGGGAGTTAGAATGCGCTTTCATGCACACCATCACCTCTGTCACCATCGTCATGATGAGGCTGGTGTCCACCCACCGGTCAGGCACTAGCTCCGTAGCGGCGGGCGTCACGCGGACTGGTGGGTCTGAAGAACCAGCGAGCGCCCAACACCGAACGCAGGAGAAGGGAAAGAAGGCCAGCGGGTCCCTTCCCCGAGACGGGGCTGGGAGGTGGGTCGGGGTGGGGGCGCCCACTTACCGCGGCGGCGAAGCAACTCCGCAGGGCCTGGAACTCCTGCGCGCACAGATCCTTCCTCAGGTGGCCGCCCGGGGCCATGGACGCCTGTACGCCCCTGCCGTAGGCCGCGGCCTGGGGAC